CAAAGGTCTTTTTGAAAATTGCTTAACATAGATATTAAATTTGACAGATTAAAATGTGTTATCAGGCTTATTAATAAATATATTTCCGTTTCCTGTTACACTAAATATATACATTTAGGTAAGTATTATCACTGAACATAGCATGTTTCTAATGCAAATTCATTCTTTAAGGATCCTTGTACCAAATTGACTGCCAATTGGAACTGTATAACTATTCATTGTTGACTCTCAGGCATAAATTTAATATATCATTTATAAATAATAAACAATGCCTTGTGAAATTCTTCAGAAAATATCATAAAGATTTAAATAGAAAAATAAACAATTGTTCTAAGAGTAAAAATACAAATTAAGGGGCCGGACCAGGATTTGATTACCCTTGCATTGACCTCTGATCTTTAAACTGTCTCTGTTAATCCAATTTACCTACCTGGTCAACCATAGTACCCTATGACCCAGTAGCACAACAGTTACTGGTTAGTGTGGTTACTCGTGTAAGTCAGTGAGGCGACGAGGGTCCAATCAGGAACAATTAAATACTTATCACCAGAGTTAAACTTTTGTCCCCTCCTATGTCCTACTCGATCATCCCAAATTTCTTTCACTCCCATCTCTATTCTGATCCTACTCAGACCTTTCTATTTCACCCTACCCCTTTAACTTATTCACCCCTGAAGACACATTTGAACTCTTCCAATTCAAATGTTGAAATAGTCCATTATGAAATCACAGGGGTGAATGAGTTAATCAATTGAATTCCTGACTCTGTTCATATCCCTGCTGCCCCTTTCTACCCATCTGATCATGCCCCTCTCAATCTTGTCCTTGCTGTGACAGGACCAACTGCCCTTAACTTCACTCACAGCCTGTTAATGTATTGTAATATAGTCTAGCTATGCTGAAAATTGATCAACCTGCCATGAATACAAGCTCAATCATCAATAATCTATATCTGTTGTACTTTACCTGAATGTTCTATATTAATTGTGACATTAATTATCTACCTGTGTATTATATTATTGAGCAATCTAATTGACCTATTGTGATAGGACATCATTACCGTATATTTAATAGATAACCTGATATTATTTGCAATGTGTTTGACTTTTTCATTTCGACTTGATTATGAGGTACGCATTAGCTACCATGGTTACAAAAACATTACGAACCTCAGTTTACTGCATGTTTAATATACATACATATAGTGTACTATTCTCTAATATAGTATAATTATCACTTTTAACCTGTAATCTTTTATAGGTTGTATGTCTGCCTATAACTGGACGTGATAATGGTTATAGCCAGCTGTTACATCGCCTACGTAGGCCTAAAACGTGTGACCTCACTCTGTTGTTTTCTCCATTACAACCATGTATGCTGTATAGATGTCCAGGGGGTAGACACTTTCCACTTTCTGTTTTTCACTGTAACAGTCATTCAATTGAATATTAAATAAACTTAACACAATTTTTTAATTATTTTAGAATGGCCAGAATCATTATTAAATAATTAGTGTTTGTTTGTTTGTTTGTTTGATATTGTTTAACGTCCTATTAACAGCTAAGTTCATTTAAGGATGGCCTCCCCTGTGTGCAAGATGCATGCGTGTAGTGTATGTGTGTGTATTTTGGGAGGCTGCGATATGTTCGTGTTTGTCTCCTTGTGATAGCGCGGAACTGATGCCGACTTTATAGTGCTACCTCACTGAAACATACTCAGCAGGACGCCCCACCCGGTCACATTATACTGACAACGGGCGAACCAGTCGTCCCACTCCTAATTTTCTGAGCGTTAAATATAAGCAGGAGTATAAACTACCATTTTTAAAGACTTTGGTATGTCTCGGCCAGGGGACAGAACCCAAAGCCTTCCTCACAGGGGCGAACGCTCAACAAATGGCCAAAAGTGAGGCATTGTCAAGGGAGACATTAGGAAGAAGAAAGTTATTTATAAAGGTGAGAAGAGATAATAAGGTCCCAAATTTAGTCGCCTCTTACGATCATGCAATTTGGGGCAGCAGGTACAATTCTTACGCCCTACCTGCAGGGTGGAATAATTAGTGTTGCCAGGGTTGGAGGCATATAGGCTATTCCAATTCTGTTCTTATGTATTTTTTATCCTTTTTATAATCATATAAGCTTACAAATAAAAGGGTCTGGCCCTCCTAGGGGCTAAGAGTTGGCCAGTAACATGTAAAAAGGAGTCAGAATTGAAGTTTTTATTTAAATGACATCTCTTCCAGAACTGCTGGGCAGGTTTTAACCAAATTGTAGAAGTAGTCAATTCTTCGAGCCCATTGGGATAAAAAAAAGGAGTATGAAAGGGCTTAGACCCTCTTGGTGCTATCTTCTTGTACTACTCAGCAGATTTCAACTTTATTTCCCAAATAACCAGGTGATTGATTCGGGTGAGTGATCCTTAGGCCAGGCCTCTTGTTTCTGGTGTTGATCTGGAACCAGATGTTTATCATAAACCTGCATGATTATAGCTTAACTTCAATATAGCATGCAACTTTAATCCAGTATATCATTAACACATTTACCCCTAAAGACACATTTGCATGAGCTCTCCCAATTCAAATGTTGGAATAGTTCATCATGAAATTTCTGGGGTATATGAGTTAAGCTTGTGTTTGTGGGTGCCAAACCTCTAACAAAAACTTTAAATATTTAGGGTCCCAATATAACTCAATTTGCTACAGTATAATCATGATATAAGGACACAAATCTTAAAATACAGTAGTATTGTCCCCATTTTAATTCATAGCATCTAAAACTAAAATCACAATACAAAATGATGATTTTAAGATGTTTTTGGGCGTAATCTTCACAAGCGGTGTTTCTCTGCTGTAGATTGGTGATAACAGGAACATTCAAAGTGAGGCGGAGTTACGCATTGACTTTTCAGGGTCAGGCTATTGTTTGTGATGTCACTAATGATCAATTTCATGACATGTCGGGTCATTTGGGGTCATTGACGTCTTTAACAATTACCATCTGGGCTTCATATGCAAATGACAAGTTTATAGACAGCACATATTGGTTATACTATCGCAAATTATTTTGATTGACCAATTAAATGCAATGTTACATCTCAAATGATTTAGAATGTATAATTTCAGGGAGCACTCACTGGTGAAAGTATTGATTGCAATTGATAGCATTTGATTTAGTGTTACTTATAGTTGTATATATAATAAACATGAAGATCAGTCATAAAGATATTTTAGGGATTTGCTAAACTGTTTTAATTTAAATTGGAAACAGTGTATGAAGTGCTCATATTACTTCAATAATCGATAGATAAATAAATGTAATTAAAATGTATGTAATCTGTCTGTAGGCCTAGATATCTTATCCATGGAATTGAATTACATACATATCAAAAAGAATGGAAACATATCTACAACATTCCCCCTGCTGCATGGGCAAACCCATATCCATGTCCTCATAAAGATAAATAGGCAAATATAAATCCTAGCTGCACTATCCTTGCTTCCCATTAAACTGCTGGTAAATATAAACTTTATTGAGTTATTCTTCCCTAACTGTATTTCCAGCTAAATGAAAAAATAACAGTTGGTAAGGAAATTCACTTCTTGGTAGGCGAAGATTTAGATGTCTGCATGCTTACGCATATCAAATATACTGATTTTCCATTCACTTGTGTGGCAAAACATGTAAGTACAGTACAGGTGAAAATTTAGCTGTACCATACATGTTTTAACCTCAGATAAAGTTGAATTTTAAAGATGTAAATTTAATTCTTTGCATTCACATGTGCATGTGTAAATTAGAGTGAAACCTGTTATTTTTAACTGAAGTTTATCGCAGAACGACTCTCTGATATACAGTGACTTCTATATAACCTCACCCAGGTGACGAATCGCGGGAGACAGACAGTTTGTTCAAAGGGTTCTATTGACTCAATGGTAGTCTAAGTTCATTGACATTTTATAGGTAAGTTTGTTATAACCCCTGCAACTCTTCCTTAACCGTGGGTTGCATTTTTTTGTAACTTTACCAAGTGAAAGTACATCATATGTAGATACGCATTATAAGAAATGCATTTACGATTTGGAGTTATGGGCCTTGAAAGTTTAATTCCTGCAACAGGACCATTGTAAGCACCAGCTGGAGGTAAATCTTTGTGAGCGTGCTCACATTTTCTCTTTACAATAATGATAATAATAATTCAAGGTTCTTATATACGGCTTTATCAGAACCTAGTTTGTAGGTCGTCTAAAAGCGGTTAACAAATTATTATTCGTGGTTATAGGGCCTTTGCAACCAGCCAATATCTTTCTCAACTCCCTCGGGAGCATACAGCCGGTGCTGCCATTTCGGCGCTCACAGCTAGCATTCGACAATATTCTAGCACTGCCCAACCACGTACTCATTTACAGCTGAGTAGACTAGAACAAGCAGAGTAAAGTATCTTGCTCAAGGATACAACACAGTGCGGTGACATGACCCGAGTCCACAACCCTTCGGTCACTAGCCTGGCGTCCTACCACTAGCTATAGACTACTGTGCCTCATAAAGTCTCATAGTGATTAAAGGTTATACATATGTATTTTGTCTGCTGGTAATCATTTTGTTCGGCATATATATTTTATGTTTGTGCTTATAATACATCCTTTCAACAGCTATTGGTCATTTAAGAATGACCTAGATTTTGGTGGTGGAGGAAGACGGGAATACCTGGAGAAAAAACCACCAACCTGGGGCCAGTCCCTTTGTTTTTTCTATATTGCTTAACATATATATTTCATGGTTTTCCCATTACCTACCTTATATATTTCACTAGTATGGCAGTGTGTTCTGATATTTTAACTTGGGCTTTGCATTTGTGAAATATATCAGTTTTCTGCGTACTTTTGGAACATATATAGTATTCGTTTGAAAACCATTAAAAATGTTGATTAGGATGACTGCAATTCAAGCAAGTTGTAAAATAGTGAGAGTTTTACTAATTAATTACTGACTGTATATTTCCAGAATGGGGTAGAAGAAACATGTTATGCCGGGAGAAAATGACTCTACACCCATGAGGCCATAAATGTATCTATTTATCTATCATCATGGCCAAAACACCTCGCAGCAGTAAGGTTCTGCCACAAAACATGGCAGTTCCCATTTCAAATATCCAGGAAAATGGCAATGTCTTCCTAGTTGGAAACAAAAATGGTGACATCAAAATGACTTCCCCTGGCAGCTCGAGGCCAGGAACAGCCAATTCAGGCACACGCAAATCAGCCTGGGATCGAGCACGGGAGAAGTACAAGGAGCAACAGGAACAAGTGAAACATTTGTCGAAGGTGACGCCAATCGTTGGGGACGACAGCGTAACTAGCAAACAGCACCTCGACCTCACAACTATCGCCAGTGTTTTCAAATCAAAAAGATTCAAAGACATCCAACTAGAATGGTTGTTTCAGAGATATTTCTTCAAATTAAATCAGACGAACTTATCAATATTAATGGCCCTTTTCTGTGTAACATGTGTCCTGTCTATAATTTCTTACTACATAGGTGGCGCCACATTACCGGCAAGGGGTGTTAACCTTGGGATTGCTCTTGTAACGTTTGTAGTGCTGGAGATTGTGTGTAACCGGGGGACGTTTTTTCAGCAGCAGATGGTTGTGATTTGCTATATAACCCTAGTGTTGCTTTGTGAGTTTGTAGTCCTTATGTGCCTAGACACGGATCCTTCGTCTGCCACCGATTCCGCGTGGAGCACTGTCATCTTTATCTACATGCTTTACACACTTCTGCCAATCAGAATGAGGCTGGCTGTCATCAGCGGAATGGGAATGTCTGTGCTGCAGATTGTCTGCTCAATAGGGAAAAATTACTCCGATGTCTTTCTGTGGAAACAGGTAAGATAATGACATGCGAAATTATCATTATAAAAAAGCTCCTTTAAAGGTATAACACATTATACTTGTGATTTGTGTGAGAGGTATCGCCCTTTGAAATGTTTCGTATCGGCGTGAATTGATGATTCGTAATCACTTAATTTTCATAAGGCAATGATCATGGTCTATTGACAAATTTGGCTCATTAACCACAATTCGTAAAATCTATTTACCTGACTGTTTGTACCTCTACCTGAAAAAGTTACGATAATTATTTTCATTTGTTGTATCAACGCCTAATTGTTGTATGTAAGTACCTCTTTGGATGGCAGATTAATTAACTTGTATTGAAATTGAGTCTCATGTGGGACTATATAGCTGTACATAGTTATGGTCCTTTGTTCAATATGCTTAACATTAATATTGGCTGTAGCGTTATGTACTTTTCGCCGACAATTTCAAAATTTTCTGTGAAAATAACTCACGGGATGGCCAAGTGTTGTGTACCAAAATCAGGTACCATAATTATATTTAAATGTTCGCCTACACTTTGCGCCCTCACCTATAGTGCGCAGCTACTTTTTGGGTGAATGTTTTTTTAAATATGTGTTGAGTACGTATACATAAGAGGAGATATAGATCTGCTGTCACCTGACATGGGCAGAGCAGGTAAAAGCTGAAATCACAAGTGTTTGGTCTTTTTTATGTCTTGCTATTTCGGCTGTAATAATAAGAGAATGAACGATTATTCAAGTGGTTACCTGTGGTCTTTTTTTTGTGAAAATGTATTTGCACAGATTTTAGGATAAGGTCAGAGGTCAATTGATGCTATTCAGTAGAGGTTCAAGTTGTACTTTTTGCCAAGGGATACTTGTTATGGAATATCAATGGGAAGACTTGTTAATATTCAATGTCAATGGGAAGACTTGTTAATATTCAATGTCAATGGGAAGACTTGTTAATATTCAATGTCAATGGGAAGACTTATGGTATTATTCTATGTTAATGGGAAGACTTATATCATGGTAATATTCTATGTCAATGGGAAGACTTATGGTAATATTCTATGCCAATGGGAAGACTGATGGTAATATTCTATGTCAATGGGAAGACTAATGTTAATATTCTATGTCAATAATGTTAATATTCTATGCCAATGGGAAGACTAATGTTAATATTCTATGCCAATGGGAAGACTAATGTTAATATTGTTTGTCAATTGGAAGACTAATGCTGATATTCTATGTCAATTGGAAGACTTGTTAGTATTCTATGTCAATGGGAAGACTTGTTAATATTGTTTGTCAATTGGAAGACTAATGTTCATATTCTATGTCAATGGGAAGATTAATGGTAATATTCTGTGTCAATGGGAAGACTAATGCTAATATTCTTTGTCAATGGGAAGTCTAATGTTAATATTCTATGTCAATGGAAAGACTAATGGTAATATTCTGTGTCAATGGGAAGAAAAAAATGACATTCTCATCTGATTCCTTAAAATTTCATAAGAATCCAACCAGTCACAAATTCCAATAATACATTTTGATAAATGTCAACGGGAAGACTTGCTTATATTCAATGCTATGGCAATGGGAGGAATTGTTCATTTTCAATGTAAAATGAAAGACTTGTTCATACAATAATATTCAATTATACATAATTAATGTAAAGCCATTTTGAATAGCAAATCTCAATGCCAGATGAAAAGATTTTTTAGCCCACCATCATCTGATGGTGGGCTATTCAAATCGCCCTGCGTCCATGGTCCGTGGTCCGTCCTTAAACAGTTCTTGTTATGGCTATATTTCTTAGGAAGTACCAGAGGGATCTTTCTCAAATTTTATATGTGCATGTAGGTTTGATAGTGAAGATTGTGCTATCACTATTTCTCAGGAAGTACCAGAGGGATCTTTCTCAAATTTTATATGTACATGTAGGTTTGATAGTGAAGATTGTGCTACAGTACATTTCACTTAATATCATGTCTGTTAATGTCACTTTTCGGTTATTATAATGTTTTTTTGATGCACCGTTTTTCCTGCTATATAATCTATGCAATTCAATTCTTTTATTATCACCTGATTTTATGTCGATTTCTCTTAATATCACTTTATTTTGGCCACTGTCCCAAAAAAAATACAGGTAAATGGTGGTAATGATTCATGATAAATGCCCTGGGGACCTTCTGTCACACCCTGGACGCATTATGTAAACAATGCCTTGGCCTAACAGGGTATTTTTTACACCTGGCTGACTGTCAAACAATAGGTTACACCTGGCTGACTGTTAAACAATAGGTTGACTTACATACTTGTTAACATGATATTCACCTGTG